AAGAAACTGACCAATTACAGTCGAATCCGAGAAGAATAAGCGACTGTGATTCGCCCATTTCTTATGGCTTAAGGCTTAAAACCTTATTGTAGATCCGGGGTAAGGCATAAAACACCTATTGTAGATCCGGACTTACCAATTAATAAAGAAGGATAAGTCCGGTTCTACAATAGGTGTTTTATGCCTTATGCCGTAAGAAACTGACCAATTACAGTCGAATCCGAGAAGAATAAGCGACTGTGATTCGCCCATTTCTTATGGCTTAAGGCTTAAAACTCTATTGTAGATCCGGAGTTATGCGTCATGCAAAAGCTTGTGTCTGGAGGTGCGTTCCGTATCGCGCATGATGTGCATGATGCATCCATTGTCCTTGTTTAACGTTTGGTGAGCAACAAGGATAAACGATGCATTATGCGCATCATGCGAGAAACGGAACGCACCCTGGGCCATCGACATCTAGAATGGACCGCTGATGGCAATGGTGGGGGAAGAAAGACGATTAGAGTGAGAGGCAGGAATAATAAGATCGTTCTTTCTCTGTTTACTGAAGCCTGATTGGTTGTTGTTAATCCAACAACCAATCAGACTAGTTAGAAACAACAGTAATAGAGAAAGAACGATCTTATTATTCCTGCCTCTCACTCTAATCGTCTTTCTACCCCCACCATTGCCATCAGCGGTCCATTCTAGATGTCGATGGTATGGGCTCTAAGGGTATATCCACACAAACTTGCATAGCCGCATAAACATATACATAAAGAAAATTATCCAATTGCAGTTCTCTTTTTAAGTCGTACATAAAATGTGATTGGATAATTTTCTTTATGCATACGTTTATGCGGCTATGCAAGTTTGTGTGGATATACCTTAAGACCTTCCCCTTTTCTTGAGTCGGAAAACCAAATAGAGGAATAAGAAGAAAATAAGGACATGATGCATCATGGATGATGCATCATGCGCTTGATGCGTAATTCGGGACGCACTCATAAACAATTATAGCTGGATAATGACGTCACTGGTTGTTATATCGATTGTTGGCAAGTTGAAATTCAAAGCTGTTAAATTCTTAAATTAGTTCTGTTAGAAAACGAAATGTCTGAATCTGAAGAAATCCCTGAGAGGCCCACGAGGCAACTGTACAAACAATTCGCAATAAGGACACGCGTGCGAATGTCAGAACAACCTGAGAAAGACGTCAACATTTTTTTTTTAATAGTTGGAGTGTTACTTATACTCGCTTTGGCCGTTCTAGCCGTTTTGCATTTTTTACATTAAATATTAAAGATGTGAAATGAGAAATGTTGAAATTAAAGATGTGATGATTGGTGATACTTACAAGAGAGATTTGATGTTTAATGCTTGCATAAATTCTTATTGCATCAATGTCTATATATAAAGGAATACAATTTATGTATTGTGTATACATATATATAATTGATGTATTCACGACACAGTGTGATATTAAACTGTGATACGATTAAATGCAGCTTTTTAAGGTAATAATCTATGAATCTATTTACACATATAAGAATAATTTTTTCTAAGAAATTATTTCTACATTATTTTTCTTTAATATTAATAGATTTACTTTAAGAGAGAGAAGAAGAGGACGAGAGTTTGAAATCCTAGGTTATATCGTGATTATTGTTGAATTTAAAGTTACTAAAATGACGTCAATATTTTGTATACGTACTGGCTTTGCAGTAAGCCGAACATTTCTTTTACCCAATATTCTTGGGAGAGGTTACGTGACATACATTCAAGGCCAATCCCCTCAACCTCGTGTGCGAGAATACTTTTATTATATTGATCATCAAGGCATGGTATTTTTCATTTCATCTATTGAAGCTTTAGTTTTTATCACTGATGAAACATTTTCTCAGATTTTTTTCATATAATTTTTTAGAATTTTAAAGTAAATTTCAATATTTTTCAGAATTTCTACATATTTTTTAACTTTTAAAATTTCTCAAATTTTTTAAATTGGAACATTTTCAGAAGTACCAAGAACATCTATATTTATTCCAAAATTCTTTATAAATTTGGAAATATTTTAAGATTTTTTATTCTGTAATTTCTGAAATCTTATAAAATCTAAAAAAGTATTTAAGATATTTTTCTCAGAAATTACAAAATGAGAAATCTTCGAAGATTTCTCTCAGAATTCACATATTGAAAAATTGTAAAAAAAAACCATAGATTTTCTCTGTATTTCTTTAAAGTATTCAAATTTGCATGAAAATTTTGGGAAAAATTTTCATCAGGATAATGAATGAGCATCTCGTAAATAATTATTTATAATATTTGTCACAGTTGTTCCTGGATGATGTCCGCATAAGGAATTTCACCTCCTGCTTTAAAGGTATACATCAATGTTTATATCAACTGAAAAGTATCTTTTTCATGTGTGTTGCAAACTGTTGCAGACAAAAAATTCCTGGCATTCTTCTTCAAGCGCCTAAGGAAAAACGACACCAAACGTTACACAGATGACTTTCCATTCTTGTCAATTTGTGGTGTAGAGAGAAATTATGTGAGATGTGATGACTTACCATTGGTCTTTACAAAGGTGATTCAAAAACGTAATGTGGAAACTGGGGCAGAAGAGGACTGGTTCAGTTATGCGCACGCAGATGACTTATTAACGGTAATTCTGCAGAATACTATATATAGCTATATATCAGTTTCATCTTTGGATAAACTATGTGATAATTTATCTAATGGATAACAAAAGAGTAAAAGTAAACTAAAGTTTATCAAAAAGTGGAACAATTCAACCATAGTAAAATTACAATTTTAACCGAGTTCTAATGATGCTGTATTAACCATCAAATTTGCCACAGGTGCCGTTTGAACCGCAAAGATTATTTATGAACATTAAAACGGGAAGAGTATATCATCCTGCACCAGAGAAAGCGGGCGGAATCGGTTTAGTGAGATCCAATTTAGCTATTGAATTCAGCGCCTCGTTCAACTTTCAAAACGGCGAGGGAAACGCACCGACACATTTTGTCTGGAGAGACGAGCGATACCAACTCGATACAGGATGGTACAGAGACAAACTGCCATAAATAGTGAAATAAAAACAACGAAACTCTTTTTATAATTCATAAATATATTGCGTAACTATAAAAAAGGAATTTTTCAATGACAAGCGTAAGCCTCTCTGAGGTTTACTCAGATAAACTTTAATGTTGTTACATCAACCGTCTATCAAAAAAGTTATTAATAAAGAATTTACAAACAAGCGTTGCCTGAAATAATCTGAATAAGATTAGGAATTCTATAAAAAAATTATATGTACATTTACTACAAGTACTGCGGAGAAATGAAACCCCTGCACATTTCTACCCTAAAATATTCTATTCTAATCGAATCTAATTCTAATTTGAAATTGGGAAATCCCGTTCATTTACTTTGTATTTAATAATTTGCTCAGTCTTGATTTCAATAATATATTTAAACAATATTAAGAAACTTTATTTTAGATCAACGCATATGTGAGAATATATTTTTTTGAAGTCCTTTTTTATAGTTTTATTAAAAAGAAGCATATATTTTTTATAAATCACACTTGTATGTGTAAATATACATGAATTTATATATGTAAGCTTATATTATACGTCTATATACATATTTTTTTATATTTTAATATTCTACCTTTCATCACATATTAACGTATAGACGAAATGTCAAAAAGCCTGGCAGTACCATCGTCGGAAACTGTTATTGCTTTCTTCTCATCACTGAAAAGTTACAAAACATATTAAATATCACAGAAGAGATCGAATGTATTTCATATACAGAAAATTTCAGAGAATTCTCTAATAAGGCCAGATTTTCAAATTGTGATTTTTAAAAAATTGAAATAATTTTAATTGCTCAAGAATATTGCGATACAAAATTATAAACATGTATTAAAATTTACGATTAATTCGAGTTATTTTTTGACATACGTTTTAATAGCTGTCCGAATTTAAGTAAAAAAAGTTTACTTCGTACAAATATATATATATATAATCGGAACTAATACATCGAAATTAAGCTACCCACAAAATCTTGTTCCCACATAATAATTTTATTTTATTTTATTTTTTTCTCGCACAATTAATTAACACAAATTTGCTTGTTAATGGTTTACCTGGATATGCATACATCATATAAGGCCCCTTTGTGTCCCGAGAATATTCGAAGGCAGTGACCTACTCTCGCATCGAAACATCTTAGTTTACCATCTAATCCCGCTGTAAAAAATATCGATGTCTTAGTCCAAACTAATTTTGTGACACTTCCTTCTTGATCCATTTCGTGCCTAAGACTCTGGAGAGAATTGAAATTTAGAACTTAATGTTTAAAAAGAAACTAGATATAAAAATATAAAAAATAATACTTGTTTAGAAATATCCCATATGTAAATTTTTCCGTATGTTTCACTCGTGACTGTTGCACTTGCAGCAACAGGGAATGTAGGATCTTTACAAAAAGCTGCAACCTCTACATGATCGTTGTTATCGCCATGCCTATGCAAATCTTGAAGTACACAAATTACCTGAAAAATATTTCAATATCAAGTTACTTTTAAGCTACAAATCAAAATGCCGCGCGGATCTGTACGAGAGCAACAAACTCATAATTAGCAGATCTCTGGATTCGATAATCTCCCGTCTAATACACAAATTATAATTTCGTAAAAGTTATTATTCTGCAAAATAGATAGATATGAGGCTGACTTCATTTTATAATAAACTTAATTATTGAAAATAAGCCTGAGAAGGAGCTTCTGGACTTTGATTTGAGTCGCAGTTCATCGGTTTAAGCTACAAGTCAGCAATCGACAAAAATTTTAAATAACCGATCAATTTTAATCTTTATATGGATAACATAAAAACCAATAATTTTATCAGAAATCATCTCTTTTCAAGTACAGGAAATGCAGCAAAAAAATACGAATATAATGATACTACTTTTGCTATTGAGGAAAATATTAAGAAAATAAGAGTTTCTTGTACCTTGCCATTATGTACTGTGCTTAATATAGTCTGGCTTTCCACTGACACCGAAATCAATAAATTATTATCCATGTAACAATCAAGAGCAATGATATTGCTTGAATGTCCATATAATCGTGTTTGGTCAGGGGGAGTGGTGGATACTAAAGTGTTCGATTTTAAATCTATTACGTGAATCATACCATTTTCATATCCTATTGCGGCACGTTTCCCTGTAAGATTTAAATTAGTATTTTGTTCTCTTTTGAGTAAAAATCTAAGCGTATACTGCTATCACGTACCATCTGGAAGAATTATACCAGTCTCTGATTTAATACCGCTACCTTGTGCAAAGATCTTGTAATCATCCTTTCGTGTTTTCAACATATAAACCTCTCCTGTTTCACCACCTGTTACTAAGATGTCACTGAAAGGGTGCCACTTTATCCACTAGATAATAAAAAAAGATTATTAATAAATTGTTGTAGATGCTTGTGTTTAAAGAAACAACAGATTTATTCTTTAAAGTTGAACCTTTTGTACTTCTCTTTTTTTTATTTTTTCTTTGAAATTATCGCTTTTCTTGAAACACAACTGAAAAGTACAGGTAATAAAAATAGGAATTAACAAATTTCAACTTATCAGAAATCATGTATACTAGAACATACAGTTTCTGATTAAAATCTGTTATTTTCTGTTCCTATTGTCTATGCTTTTCAGTTGATCAAATCGTAATTAAATTATTTTATTTATTTATTTATTTAAATTATTTATTATTTTTAAATTATTTTATGTGCAGCTATAAAAAAGTTTTAATAATTGTTATCTAAGAATGCTCACGTTAATATCGTTCATTAAGGCAGTTTCCCAGACACAAGTTTTGTCACTTATTCGCCACAATTTTATTTTGCCACGCATGTCGGCTGTGGCTACATATTTGTCGTTGTAATTGAAATCAGAGAATATAACGCTATCATTATGGCTATCACCAGTATTGAGAATACTTTCGCCCGTATTGGCGTTCCAGAGGTATCCTTTATCATCTTCGCCCCCTGTCGCCACTAAGTCACCATTCTTACTTAACGAGCAGCAAAATACTGTGTGATCTGAAATCAATTTAAAGAAACAGTTAATGAGTGCTTTCTAGCAAGAACACAGACGATATAGTATAACTCAGTTAATCATTACATTCTTATTGTTTATCAATGTTAAACTATAGCATTGTTTGTTTTGTCTCTCGGGAGCTGCTCAGGGTTGCTCTGAATAAACCCAGTGTACTTGAAATTTAGAATTCACACAACGTACGACATCCATCGTAACCTCGAGCAGCTCCTGAGAGACAAAACGAACAATACCAACAAGTGCTTTATATTTGATAATAGAAGTTTAAATAAGTGTTCTATTTTTTATTGCTTTCCTTTTAGAAGATATAGTCAACATAAGTGTTTATCTTTGTTATTCATTGAATGCTAAGGTCAGAACAATGTTTGTATCAACTGTCTTTTAAAAGAAAAATAGCTAAAACATTGACTTGTGTCACTAATGTCCAATTTCTTTACCTCTAGATAACTTTATCTAAGAGATATCATCTAGAGTACAATGGAGAGATCTCCTGGATAAAAAGTTATCTGCAACTTATCTGGAAGTGAAGAAATTGGGCATAAGGATATATTCCACTTAATACTGATAACGCTCATGAAAACATTTCGTCCTTGTTGTTTATCAAATAAAGACAAATAATGCTTGCGAGTGCTAAGTAGAACATACCTGAAGATTAAATAATCACTGTATTACATTAGTTGCATTGGGGGAGTGTGCTATCAGAGCTATGTGCATTCTATCTTTATTGGGCCTTCTACAATAAGCCGCAAGTCAGAAGTTCTAAGCGATCTTAAGTCATAATCGGTGAAGTTGGCCAACAGCCAACTTGAACGATTTGGTTAAGACTGGTTAAGACTTATGACGTTCTGACTTGCGGCTTATTGTAGAAGGCCCATTTCATTTATTAGACGTAAAATAAAGATATAATGATGCAATAGTGTTAATTCACTGTCTCTCTTGCTAGAAAGCATCATTAGTGACATGAGTTAATAAAAACTTTGTTCTACCTTTCTTAGCATTTCATGAATAATAAAAGGTATTTTTCACCTGGTAACAAGTCTAACTCAGATAATTCTCAATTATGACATCATAACAATTGCATGTTCCTTTAAATTCTGACAGGTGAGATTCAACTGAGTTTTTACTTACAATCTACACAAGCTCAAGACTGTGTGCTTTACTGAGTCTTATTAGCTCATATTAAAAGTGAGGTTATAAATCTGTGGTGTTATACAATAACTGAGTGCTTTCCAGCAAGGACACAATCAGACACAGTGTAATACAGTGAATCGTTGTTTCATCCTTGTTTAACATAAGCAAACAACAAGGATATAATGATTCACTGTGTTACACTATGTCTGACTGTGTCCTTGCTGGAAAGCACTCTTTGTCGCCAAAGTAAGCCATTATCTGAGTACGAATAACTTTAAATTCAGTATCACTTGTATGAAAAGCAATTAATGTTTGCGTCGATTTCTGCCACTAAATGGAAAGCATCCAAAGACAGGATGATACTTGTGTCGATTTGTGTCACCAAATAGAAAGCATCTAATCGGTCTTGTGTGGAGATCAAAAGCTTTCTTACAAGGCTTATGACCATGAAAGACGCGTACGGCATCGTTCACGTTATCCTCCTGCATAAGATCCTCCGTCCGTGGATTCTCATTTTCATCCGATGAGCTCGAACTCTCGAAAATCGGGTCGTTTAAATCAATGACCTCTTCAATATCATCTTCTACAATCATCTCGTCATCCATGAGATCCTCCACTTTAGATGGAGACGGCGGAGCACGTTTATCTTGCATCTATTGGAAAAATCACAATTAATCAGCTGTTTAAATCAATTAGCAAAGCTAGTACTGACCATCACGAAATAAATGCGAGCGAGCGAATAAAAATATCTTTGATCTTCCTGAAGCCCTGTGGCACACTAAAATGTTGGAGCATGTGTTCACAGCACGTGGCTCTCAAACAACATTAGGTCTGTTTTTTATTGCCGCACTTTCTGAACTAGTACACACAGTGCAATAAGTTGAAGTGAAACAAATATATGTTTGTTTCACTTTAACTTATTGCACTGGTTCAGAGTGCAGCAATAAAAAACAGACCTATTGATAATCTGTGACATCGACTAGAACAACCAGATCCAGAATGGAACTTATAAAACGGAAAGGAACTTCTCTGAAGTGTTTTAAAGTGCAGTTAACAGATAAAATAATACCGAAGTTTTACCGGGAAGTTATCCCGGAAGTTTACTGCGCGGCTGCGCGCTAACGCCCTCTCAACAAATTTGGCGGCTATAATTCAATTTAGAGAATCTAGATTAAACGGGGAATAGATTTTTATTTAATTTTACTGTTATAAATTCTCGTTGTGTAATCCTACCCTAGCAGAACAGCAAGTCACGATAACGTCAAAATGACATTAAAAGGAATCGAAAATGATTGAAAAATGACTTTTAACGATCATTTTGGAGTCATTTTGACATTATTTTGATATCATAATGACTTGTTCTGCTTGGGTAATTTTTTCCTTATTACAAAGATTATACGTAATGCGTCTTAATTTTAAGTAATACAATTGTTGTACCCTTGGGTGAAGGATACAGGTAGGGGATTCGCCGAGGACCAGGACACGCAAATAAACCACCAAATACAAACTAACACTTTAATAAATTTAGTAAATTCGTACAATCTCACAATTAAATATAATATTTTACAAGATTTAGTCACTTCACATATACTCTCCCTCTCTCTCTCTCCCCCCTCCCCCCCCTCTCTCTCTCTCTCTTCGTAATTACGTGTCGGCCCGATTTTGGTTTATGTAACAAGTTCGCGTTGACTTGATGAATCGGTCGACTTATGTTTTATTCGCGTGAGGGCGTCGTCTCGGATAATAGCTGATAGTAAGACTCTGAGACTCTGCCACGGTTAATATACTTGCTTGAACTGTTGACTTGACTTGCACTTTAGTCAGCTATTCGATCAGATTTTGGTTGTTCTCTTTTTTAATGCGGTCATTGCTGACACATGCATCCTGATTTCTTAATTTGGGCAATGGCTTCCGTCTTTCTGCAACTTGTGAGAAACAGCTTGCAGTATTTGCGCGCTGCTTGCGCAAGATTGTATTTTCGCAATTGAATTATGAAATTAAAGTACGCTAACTTTTCGTCAATGGTTTTTAGTTCAATTGCGAAATGACCAAATTACCAAATTGATTTCTAAATATTTGAATTGCTAAGTTGCTCCATCTTTATTCTCTTATATCAATTATAGCTGTGGCTATAACACAATAATCAAATGCAAATAATTGCAAATGCTGTGGCTTAGGGGCCGATTCTGTAACTCTTAACGACAGTCGTTGATGTCGTTGCACAGATATTGTGTAGAGTAAAAAAGCTGCGCAATGACATCAACGACTGTCGTTAAGAGTTATAGAATCGGCACCTAAATATTAAATATTTTTATACAGGAGTAAAATAGAAGAATGTACATGCTATTCAACTTTTATTCAACAACTATATTAAGCTTATCTTAAAGGAACACGACAAGCATCGCGTAACAAGCTTTCTGTACATATTTGAACTTTATGTTAATATTTATATATTGTTTATATATATTATATATTATATATATATATATATATACATATATCTAGCACATTCATACCCTATACATAATGCTACTATAAAGTGATAATATGTCATATGTATAAATGATTGAACATATGTATGTACATACACACGAAATGAAACAAGACACAAATAAAAAACTCTCCATTTTCTCTAAAGTAAAGAAAGGCGAATTAAATAATTTTTTAAATTAAGATAGTACACTCGCGAAATGAAGACAGTCAGAATTTTTTTAAATTGAAACTATATATTACACTAGAAGACTTTGAGGATGTGCAATTACAACCCAGACAGCACACAATATATTAAAAAACTATTTAGAAATATTTATAAGATTTATTTTAAATATTTTGTAAATATTTTTGTGGTTTTAGATTACACAAATCATAAATATTTATTATAAATATTATGAAATACTTATTAGAATATAGTTATAGTAAATGCTATGAAAATACTTAATATGAGACATTATAATCCAAATAAAAAATACTTATATTAGAAATATTTATTTATATTTATCGTAAATATTGCATAAAATATTTAGTCTATATTTTAATAATATTTCGAATAAAGCTTTATATAAAATATGTATAAAATATCTATATATTTCAAAAAAATGAATATTAATACATATTTATCATAAATATTCTGTGCCATCTGGGAATGAGATTGATCGTTCCAATAGATACAAGCAATTAAAAACCTCACTTTTTATACGTGTCACCTAAAAACAAAATTCATGAAAATGTCGCGTTTATTTTTGTAGGGTCTAAACTAGCAGTGATATGTTAATAAAAAACGAGCATGCGATGGAGGAACATGAAACGGATATATTGTGAAAAAAATATCATAATTTTCTACCGTAATGCAATTTTCAATTTTGTTTGGCATAAAGAGGCGACTATGCGTCTGTATTCATTTTCTTTCCGCGTGTACAATGAGGAGCAAAAATGAGTTTATTCTTCGGTGTAATACATCATACTGCAGGCGGTGCGCTCATCTACACCAAAATACACCCTGTCGCAAATTCTCATATGAGTCCCATGGGACATTGATAAGTCTCGCAAGACCACTCGAGCGGGACGGACGTACGTCTTGTCTGCTTCGGATATCGCATCACCTCACTCATTTTTTGAAAAGCGTTTCCGGCTTCGACTATGCATTGTGTTACATTATTTGTCTTAAGATTGCATCATTATTTCGTCCCATTCACCGGTTTAAGGTGACCGGTGTATCATACTTTGATTTCACGATTTATTTACGATTTTAGCCGGAATCGCAGTCATTTTTGTGGCGAGTGCCATCAATTTTGAAGAAGAAGAAGAAGATGAGGAATTGACTCAGGTGTGTTATGGGGTAAGGTATAACAATAAAATATTGGGAATCACGAAATTGTGCATTTGTTTATAAGTAATATATTTTATGTATAACATTTATGCAGTGTATGAACACAATCATTTACGTGTATACTGCTGATTGCATAAATAGATGTGCGTGTATTATTACAATACGTATGTTGTAACAATACGTACATATTATGAATCTATTTATGCGATATACATGTAAATAATTGTTTATACACTCCATAGATATTATACATAAAGTATATAACTTATAAATAAATACACAATTTCGTGATTCCCAACATTTTATTGTTATACCCTGCCTTGTAACACACTTGAGTCAATTTTCCATGAAACCTATATGGGAATTTGCGACAAGGCAAGCTCATTTTCGCTCCTCATTGTACATGCAGCTTTGGACAGTATAGTCAAAAATTTTCTCTCGTTAGCGGGAATAGAGGTATCGCCAATGAGTGCGCGATGGGACCAAACTTTTGGATGATATTGTTGCGAGTGTACTACCTTAAAAGACTATATGGTAATGTAACTTTGGTAATAGAGATATTGAAAGGTAGCTCTGAACTTTTCCACATTTTTTGAAAGCCTAGAACAGTAAAAAAAAATGGGATTAAATAAAAAAGACCCAGATTACAGACGAAAGGCAGTAAAAATATGATTACTGATGGAGGATTAATTTAGAATCTGAATTCGATAAAGATAACGCGCTTGTTATACTTTCTACATAGTAGAAGACCATCTAATTAAAACTCGCTCAATTACGAACTGTAGTTTCTTATTAAATGCCTAAGTATTTCACTTCATTATTCCGCCTTCAATGACTTCTTTTCTTTTCTCTTGATAGAATTCTTTTTACAGTCACTATAAATATTATTGAGATCGAATGCAGCCTTTACATTGTCCTAAAAAATTAAAACAAATAAATAAGATAGAATTACATAAGCTAGGAGTTTAACAAATTAAATATGAATGACGACATACCAGAGAGAAAAGAAATTTAACAAGCTTTCCTTTATGATCCGCGTATGGACGTCGCTCTACTTCCTTGCCATCTTTAAAAAGTATCAGCGTTGGTAGCTGCTTGCTCGTGCTGGCGTCACTGACGTGATACTTTGCCGCGGCATCTGGATGTCTTCCAACATCCACTTTACCGAATTTGAAGTTCTCCAATGCGTATCTAAATCATAATTATTTTCAATGTCAGTAAACATACCAAGTATTCTCTCGCAAAGAGAAAGAGAGATTAGATTATATATAGCTGCATTCAGCAGAATTTATTTTGTTTATTTTATATTTGCTGAAAATTTTCTTCGTTGGTATAGAGAACTAACTCCTGTAGATCTAAAAGTATATTTAAAAAATATATTTTTTAATATTTTTTTATATAGATTAATAATATTATTCATCCTGAGAGATTGTTTAATTGAAGAATAAGATAGTAATATTTTTGGATTAATTATACTTAATATTTTATAAAGAAAAATAATCGAACAAATAATTAAAATTATGAATATAATTAATATAATATATAATTAAATTAAATATTAAAGACATTATATAGAAGTAATCTTGCAAAGTAAATAAAATATAAATATAGCGTGTAATTAGAAATTAAAGGTAATCCGATCAGCAAAGAAAATTTGCAACAGATACAAAATAAACATTCTGTAGAGAGACCATGGTATATATTTAATTAAATCACTTACTCTACAGAGAGCTCAGAAAATATCGGTGCAAAGGTTACACAAGCTGGATTCCACGCAGTGTAAAATGCTACTAGCCAGACAACTCTGGTGTCACGTTGTAATTCCTCCTGCAGTCCATTGGCTCCACGTAAATAGATGACATTCTCAGGCCCTTGATACATTGGTTCTGGCAGTACTAATGCAAATACTGCACACAAAGTGCTATTAGATCGCTTATGACACAATGGTCTATAATTCACGATGATAAAGTGTTGGCCAACTGTTGTACTGTTTATGGGGAACAATTAAAATTAATTCTATCGTATTCATGTACTCAATTACATACATTAAACTTTCCATAAACGATAACAAGTTAGCCGACATTTTGTTTATCATGCTCCTGCCCTTCTCTTACGTATAAAAATAAATGCATATAGAATGCCCATCCGCACGTCCGCGTAGAACCACAGGATTAAGTTTGCTCCTTTCGTATACATGAAACTAGACGTCAAGTAATTTATCATGGTCACACTGCCGGTCTTTCTTGTTCTTATCATAACAACAGTTATGAGGAAAAAGAGAATCTGTGTCTCCCTCTAAAAACATAAGTACTTGTTAATGAAATAATCAAATGTTAATTCTCATCTACAACTATGAAAACCTACATTCTAGAATGTCCTGTTTAAAATATAAAATGCAAGTAAATCTCTGTCTTGTGATGATTGATAAAGGAAAGTTCAAAGTTTTATCTACAATTTGGAATCTTATAGTATCAATCATATAGATTGTATAATAAACTAAAAATATTTGCTTTGAGTCCAAATGACTTAGGCTTGATTACACCAACATTACTTTGATTTTAAGTGAGGCTTAAAACTCTTTTGCCCATATTCATAGTCAGACCTTATACTTAAGGCTTCCTTAAATTTATCTTTAAATGCTCAGTAGCCAATAAAATAATTTGTAGAGCATCTGAAGATAAATTTAAGGAAGCCTTAAATGTAAGGCCTGACTATAAATACAGGCCTTTGTCTCTTTTCCAGCTTTAAAACGAGAAAGAGAGAGTTTTAAGTCTCGCTTAAAGTCAAAGTAACGTTGGTGCCTATCGGGCCTTATTGCTATAATCAAGAATTAAAACCAGGATTGTGTATCATGAATAAAATATAATAATCTACATCTATGTGTATACACACACACAGGATATTCAAAAAAGGTAATATCAAACTTTAAGAATATGTAGTACTTGTGAAAACAAACTGAAAAGTCTTAATGAGCAGTACTCCAAAAATTACTTGTTTCCCAGTTATAAAGCATTTTCTATTGAATAAGTAATGAATAATCCATTTATATTTCTAGTATGTATACAACATATTTACGTAGATGTTTGTCCTTCACAAACTTCTAAGGTTGAAAGTAATAAATATCACTGGCATGGTGTTTATAAACTCATTCTTAACATCAGTTGACTGTCACCTTGTATAATGTAAACTATTCAAACTATTTTATATACCATTTATACAAATAATCCATGGATTATTAAAACCCTATTATTCTTATCATTAATTCTTATCATATTCTTTATCATTGCACTGGGCTTTTATTTTACATTTTTTATATTATTACTAAAGTCAGATAAATCAGCAATTGTAAAATTTAATCACTTCTTTCTGTATTGTATTATCAAATTTATAATCTACATATTATACGTTGCTTATATATTGTCTACATGAAAAAAAATTCGTGTAACGTAACGTAAACATTACAAAAAAAATTTCGTGTAAACATGAAATACACTCGAAATGTACGGCTTAACCTTGGTTAAAATCATATCGCAGACAAATTAGCATCACTTACCCCATCGAATTCGCAGCCGTCTTGAGCAAATATATAATTACAGACTATAGGAAGGCGTTTGGCGATAATGTAGGAGACACTGAGGAGGATATTTATCAAATAGTATGGCTTCAAGAGCAACTTTAGATCCTTTTTGAACGACATTTCGCACAGTCGAAATAGATAATTTGTACAATTAGTAGATTACACCTGAGGTGCTCGGTACACACTCGAGGTGTTCCGACTAATTAACGTTAAATAACGATTATTATACGATCTGTCTCGCAGATGTCCTCCTCCTGGACAATCCCTAAAGGTGATCACTATCTCGCACACATGGTGAATGAGGTGTCATCAGTGAAATTGATTCATGTCAACGAGTGGAAGATATGACTGCAATAAAAATTAAAAACGAGGCCACTACAGACGCGCCTAATTTCTGTGTATTATTCTGCGGCGTGCGATGATGTGTTAAGTGTCAAGTGTTAAGTTCTTCTTCTTTTGGTTTCCCCAAAGAAAATATCAAGTTCTACTCATGGTAACTCACAGCAACTAATGGAAGATAATAGCGTTTTCGGCCCGATCGGGTTTGCACCAACCTGGGTTGGATTAATCTTTCCTATTGGTTGACGTCACCCGCTCTACCAATAGGAGAGCACAAAACGCCATTAATCCAACCCAAGTTGGTGCAAACCTGGCCGGGCCGAAAACGCTATTAACTTTTTACAGTGTCGAGCAGTTTAGAGAGCCGTCTATTCTGTAATCTACAATCCGGATCCGAAACTGCCTTGTCTTGATTGGCTGAGTTCCGATCCGCGATCCGCAATCCCAATCCGATCCGCGTTCGCAATCCGTAGTGTGACACGGGCATAAGGGCCTGCGCACAATAGAGGAACAGGAATCAGATATTAAGATTTTAACCTATCAGAAACCATGTATTCCGATGTAATCAGTTTCTGATAGGTTAAAATCTTAATATCTAATTCCTATTCCTCTATTGTGCTCAGGCCCTTACACTGTGTCATCTGTGTTGTTGGAAAACACCCAGTGTGAATCCAGCAATAGAGAATGGACTGCGCGAATGCGCGATCCGTGTGTCAAAATGGTCGATAGGGGCCGTGGTCCAATTCATGTTGACAACGCTCATGAACATCGTTTGTCTTCGTTTAACATTTGACAAACAATAAGGATGAAATGATTTTTAAGCGTTGTGAAAGTGAATCGGACCGCGGCCAGGGATGAAAGATAGGGACCGTGGCAGACGGCCATTTCTATCTCTTTCCATTCAATAGTGTAATGGGAGAGAGACTGAGAGGGAGATTGGCCGTCTCCGGGATGATCCCGATTGACCACAGCTTGATTGGACACCACCAATCACAGCGACCGGTGCTTAGGAGCTTTGTAGTCTCAAGCGCTGTGAGTGGCTCGTGTCCAATTGAGCCGTGTCCAACTGGGTGCCACCCCGTCTTAAGTACAGTCTTATGATGTTATGAACCAATCAGAGGGCCGCATTAGCGACTTAAGACATTACTTAAAGGCCCGTCTACAATACACGGAGTAAGAAGTAAGAGTAAGAAATTGACCAATCACAGTCGAATGTGAGAAGAATAATCGACTGTGATTGGTCAATTTCTTACTCTTATTTCTTACTCCGTGTATTGTAGACGGGCCTTAAGACAGTCTTAGTCTGGATCTACAATAGGTGTTTTAAGCCTTATGCCGTAAGAAATTGACCAATTACAGTCGAATCCGAGAAGAATAAGCGACTGTAATTCGCCCATTTCTTATGGCTTAATGCTTGAAACCCTATTGTAGATCCGGACTTAAAATAAGAACCGACTATAAATACCAGCCATAGGCCGTGGTCCGAATCATGCTGACAACGCTCATGAGCATTGTTTGTCTTCGTTTAACATTTGACAAACAACAAGGATGAAATGATTTTTAAGCGTTGTGAGCGTGTATCGGACCGCGGCCATAGGTCGGTATTCATAGTCGGATCTTATATTTAAGACCGTCTTAAGTACAGTCTTAAGATGTCATGAACCAATCAGAGGGCCGCATTAGCGACTTAAGACGGTCTTAAAATAAGAATCGACTATGAATACCGGCCATAGTGTCTCATAGGCGATTGCTGTAAAACTGTATTAATTTTTTTCCAGTTATCCAGCTGCATATAAAAATAAATTAAATCAAAATTAATCAATTAATTAATTAATTAAAATTAATTATATTATGAACCAGTCATCTAAATATTAATTCTATAAAATCGTTTTTGATAATATCTGAATAGTACCTTCAAGTACCTTGATGATGTGCTAACAATATTTTTTTGACACCCTGTATATGATCTAACACGTGTGCATTGGTGCAATGTTTACATGATGGTCAATGCGCCCGTTAAAAAACATCAACACTGTGATAACATGATTACTCAGGACAATTGCAATAATACAAAAAATAAAGTCCAATAAATCTAAATGGTGTTCTCCAGACAAACAAAATTCGCAATTTCCAGTTGCTGGTAGTTTCTGATTAGTAACATTGAATTGTTATTGTTGAATGACCCTGTGTGCCTTCCAACAAGCGACACAGTGTGACACAGTGATCATGTCATCTTTGTTTAACATTGACAAACAACAAGGATATAATGATCCATTGTGTCTCGCCGTGTCATTTGTGTCACTTGTTGGAAGGCACACTCTATATTCACTTGTGGCACAATAGTATTAACTATAAATATATTTCCTGCTTATCAGAGATATTTTCCCCTTCTATGCTTTCTACTGTTGTATATAAAAATCAGTGTCATTGAATGCCTCTGTAAACACCGTACATCTCCAGAAGTTGTAGGCAGAAATTGCAAAATGAAGACAGTCAGCTTTGTGGGAATTTTATTGATCCTTGAAGCTTGCTCGCTCATTAATGCAATTAACGAACAGAATCCTAGCACTCTTAACAATAGTTATCCTGTGATAGTGATCACCTGGGATTACAAAGATGCAATGAAAAAAGGTATATTGAGATATTTGAGATATCTAACTGTATCAACTTGTCAAGAGTGAAAGATATGCAAAGTCTCTGCTAATTTAAAGATACTGTTACTTATTATTTAAGCATGGGATGTAATACATAATCAGAAGAGAAGTGCTCTGGACGCGATAGAAGAAGGATGTTCCCTGTGCGAGGAGCAGCAATGCAGAAAGACGGTGGGATTTGGCGGCAGTCCAGATGAATCTGGAGAAACTACGCTAGATGCTATGATTATGGACGGGTAAAGGCAATCGAAGCAACAAAAAAGCAGTTTTCTTGTTTTATTAAATTATACTAGTGGTATATTCAAGAAAGATATTTTTTTATAGGACAAAGATGGATGTAGGAGGAGTAGGAGGACTGCGGAATGTGAAGAATGCCATTTCGGTTGCTCGCAAGGTGCTGGAACATACAAAGCATTCCTTATTAGTTGGGAGCTTGGCTACAGATTTTGCTGTGAATATGGGATTCAAGCAGGAATCTTTGCAAACGGACGAGTCCAAGGAGATGTGGACACAGTGGAAGGCAAACAAATGTCAACCCAACTTTTGGAAGGTATTGAGAGAGAGATCATATTCTTTCAATACATTTCATTTTATGATTATTTCTATGATATTTTTGCTGTATATATTCAGAACGTTATACCAAATCCAACAAGTAGCTGTGGACCATATCGCCCAAGCAACATAGAAGATAACGAAAATGTTCTAACGGGAAGCGAGAAAAATCATGATACGATTGGTATACTCGCGATAGACTCACAGAGACGAGTAGTAGCTGGAACATCCACGAATGGCGCCAAGTATAAGATACCAGGACGCACTGGGGATTCTCCTATTGCAGGAGCTGGTGCGTATGCCGATCAGGACGTTGGTGCAGCTGCCGGTACCGGCGACGGAGATATTATGATGCGATTTTTGCCGAGGTAACATTATGTATTAATTGTCTTTCCAGCGAGAGACATAGTGTAACACATTGATTGTTTCATCTTTGTTTAACATTAGTAAACAAGGATGTTATAAGTCACTATTGTACTGTGTCATTTATTGTGTCTCTTGCTGGAAAGCATTCAGTATAATATAAATATATTTTTTCTAGGTACAGTTTAATGAACTAAAATATAAATTTGTATGCATTTTATTTTGGTCTTAATTTTCCTACTTTAATTTGAAATATGTTCAATAAATAAAGTTAATGTCTAGTATAATATGTAGTATCTTAGCAATACAGTTGCTGAAATTAAATTAATTGAGTATTTTTTGCAGCTTTCTAGCGGTAGAAGAAATGCGTAATGGTGCAGCGCCAAACATTGCTGCTAAGAAGGCAATAAGCAGAATCGCCCAGCATTATCCTAACTTCTTCGGCGGAGTGATCGCGTTGAACAACAAAGGAGAATACGGAGCAGCGTGTAATGGAATGTTGGCGTTTCCTTATTATGCTGCAAATCCTACTTTAGGCCCTAAGTTACACTCCGTTCAGTGCAGCAATTATCCGCAACATGATGGATACGACGAAACCTGTTAATTTGTACATTTGTTCATACTTTAAAATGAATTATTCAAGCTTATTTACCTTCATAAAATAACCTTCTCAAGGTAAAAATATTTATCTTCATGAACTTTAAACTACATTAAACTCAATATTGAAAATATCATACGAAAAAACGTTGATGTAATATAAACATAAACATCAGTTGTCCATAAAAAAGTCGCATCAGTCGTAGCGATAATTGTTTTATAACTTTGAGTTAAGAACAAGTTAAAAACCTTTTGCAAGATATATTAATTATAACAGAATTTAAAGTAGGGGCCACAATATAAGTAGAGTTTCACATTACTTTTTCTCTATTATGAGCTAATCTAAATTCTGGTTCCATACAATCATCTTTGGTAGTACTTTGATGCGCTAATAATATCTTTTTGGATATTTTGTATACGATCTACATATGTAGGCTCTATATAGAAAAAAAAAGTCTAGATTGGTCTAAATGTCTAGATTTGACCTGTCAAAGTGATCTGTTATAGTTTTGTTGTTTTTTTACACATGTTATATTTTTTACGTATATTTATATCTTAGATCTGTTAAAATAGGTGGATCGGACAAACGATAAAGTACGAATTTTGTAAATAGTAAATTGGGGGGGGGGGGGGGGGGCAGTAGTTGAAATCATAGCATTGGTGAGATTAGTTGATTTCAGTACGGAAAGTTGTGCGAGTGATAGATTTGAAATTGCGAGTAATAGTGAAATATCTTTGCGTAAAGAAAAATTGACGGAATTGTATAAAAGGATTTCTGACTTTTCTGACAAATATATTCAAGTTTGGACAAAAATCATGTATTCTTCAATTTATTACAAGGTTGATACTGATAAAACTTTCCTGTGTCTCCTATTAACGTACACACGTATGCACTGGTACAATGTTTACATGGTTCAATGCATCCATTAGAAAAACATTAGTAATGTAATAATCAAATTACAATCTTTCAAGTAACATGTAACAATCCAATACATCTAATTAGTACTTGCCAGACAAAAAACGTTAGTAATGAATTATATTATCGCTAAATGATTCTATCCGCTTATAACACAATAGTATTTCATCAAATATGTATTTTCAGTTTATTAGAGTTTATATTCTCTCTTCATACTTTTTGTTGTACAAATTTTATAATATTTAATATCTCTACAGGCACTGTGCATCCGAGAAGCTACAGGCAGGATGTAGCTCGCTAGATTTACAAGAATTTTGTTGTTCCTTGAAGCTTACTTCTTTATTAATGCAATCAACGAACAAAATTCGCTTTCGACAATAGCATTCCTTTGGTATTGCTCTCCTGGAATTTCAAAGGAGCAGTTGCGAAAGGTATCTAACTGTGTCAATTCGTCAAGAATGAAAGATATGCAATTTAAAGGCACTTTGTTAATTATTATTTAAGTTTGTTAATTATTAAAGACACTTTGTTAATTATTATTTAAGCATGGGACGTAATATTTAATCGGAAGAAAAGTGCTCTGGACGCAATAGAAGAAGAATGTTCCCTGTGCGAGGAACTGCAATGCAAAAGGGTTGTGGGATTTGGCGGCAGTCCAGATGAATCTGGAGAAGCTACGCTAGATGTTATGAGTATGGACGAGTAATAAAGACAGTTGACATAATAAAAGCAGCTTTCTTGTTTCGTTAAACTGTATCAGTAGTTACATTCAAGAAATGTATTCTTTTCGACAGAGTGACGATGAATGTAGGTGCAGTGGGAGAACTGCAGAACATGAAGATGCCATTTCGATCGCTCGTAAAGTAATGGAGCGTACGGAACATTCCCTACTGGTCGGAAATTTGGCTACGAATTTTGCTATAAATATGGGATTCAAGAATGAGTTTCTGCAAACGAACGATTCCAAGGAGATGTGGAATAGATAGAAGGCGAATAAGCGTCAACCAAAATTTTGGAAGGTATTGAGAGAAGTTATGCTCTTTCAGCTCATTTCGTCTTATGATTATTTTTTAGCTATTCTTTCTGAATCTAGAATGTCGTACTGAATCCAAAAAGTCATTGTGGATCACGTGAGCGACATAGAAGATGACAAAAACGTGCCAAAAGGAAGCAAGGAAAGTAATGATACAATCGGTATAGACAATTGTAATAGATACAATTGTAATAGACACACAGGGACGCCTAGCAGCCGGGACATCCACAAATGGTGTCAACCGAAAGATACCTGGTCATGCCAGGAATTCTCCTGTTGTAGGAGGCGGTGAATATGCTAATCAGGATGTCAGTGCGGCTATTTGTACCGGTGACGAAGATATTATGATGCGATTTTTGCCGAGGTAACATTATATTTTAATACAAACTTTTATTTTCCAGATATATTTTAATAAACTAAAATATAAGTTTATACATTTTTTTTATTTTAATCCTGACTTTCTTTAATTTTTTAAATTTGTATAGTAACTAAAAATTGATATCTAGTGTAACATATAGTATCTTAACAATACAGTTGTTAAAATTAAATTGAATATTCTTTACAGCTTCCTAGCAATGGAAAAAATACGTCGTGGAGTACATCCGTCGCGAGCTACTAGTAACGCGATTTTGAGAATCACCTATCATTATCCTAATTTCTTCGGTGGGATAGTCACGTTGAACAAACTGGGAGAATACGAAGCAGCGTGTAACGAAGAGGATATATTTCCTTACACCATCGTAAGTCCCACTTTGAGCCCTAGGGTACTTTCAGTTCCATGCAGTAATCTGCAGTATTATAAGAATACTTATCAAATTTTTCAATGATACTAAGGGTCGATTGTTCCACCTATTGGTAAATTTTATTTGTTTGGTAAATCTGGCAATCTGCGCATGTGATTGGGTAATCTTGCTACTTATACCTAGATAAAATTTACCAAAAGATGGAACAATCGGGTCTAAATAATGTATAGTACTCATTGCGAGCATTCTAATGATTATATAATGTAAACATATTCTAAAATTTACAAAAATTCGATAAATAAAATGAAACTGTATAGAAAGATTTTTTGTTCTGTATGTACCTATGCACACATTCATTTTGGACACCGCAATTTAGCACAAATTCATCAGTAATGATGTATGTACAAAGTGTTAATACGGTTTTCTTATTTTATATGTGTAATATAGTTGTGTGCAAACGAAACTGTAAGCAATCGTTTTGTAGGCAAATGGAACCCTGATTGAACGATGTGTGACTTTTTTATCATAAAATATTAGTATATAGTATATAATATATTCAAATATACTAAAAACATTATATTTATTAATATGAATGCCCTAAGTTATTTGTATATAATGCTGTAGAACGGAAATAGTAATTAATATGTAAATATAAATTAATGCCAATAAAACAAGAATAAAATCATAATAAACAACGTGTACATTGAGTAAAATAAACTGCGTTATTCGGCCACTCCAAATAAATCATATTTAAGTTTCGTTATTAAGATACTAGTTACTGCAGATATAGTTATTCTCTGATAAATATTGTTTTCATGATTCTAGCTTTTATTGACTATATTATATTTGTTTTAATTATTAATTTTGTTAAACACAAAAGGATATACTTAACACATTAATTTTTATAATCCACATTCTTTAGTTACTGTGTTCTATTCATCGCATGTCAATTTTCCAAGAAATACAAACGTAGCATCCGATTTTAACACGCTTTCAGTACATTATTATGCAAAAAAGATCTTTCTATAAAAATGATAATGCTATATTAATATTATATTTTGGAAACTAAATATTTTCTTAGCGTTTGAAAAAGTTATTAATAAAATTATTAATAAAATACGTTTTATATAATATAGATTATATAATACAGGTCATATTTATTTTATCAATATAGATTATATTTATAAAAAAGATAATTTGATTTTTATGATCTTATTACGATAATCGCTTATTTTTTTCTTTGACAAATCTTCCCAAGCAAATATGGAGATGCTACTTTTCTGTACGACGCTTTCATAGTCACACTAGAATTCATCATGATGCTGTCTATTCAATTGAATCTGAATCTGTAAAAAATTGATAAAAATATATAAAAAGAGTATTAGATGTAATTAATTTTGTAAAATATTTTAATTGCACACATTTCATTAGATTATTAATTATTATTCTTTTCAGAGCCGTTGCAAGTAAGAGTGTAAATTGTACACTGCACAAAGGCACTTTAATAATAGAGGAAGGATCAAATTAAATTTTAAATATCCATTCTGTATTTCTTATAGTATCAATTGCGTGTGGTCGCTTCTGTCAGATTTAACTTCTTTCAAAACGTATATATTATATATCAATTTAAAAAAACTGCAAAAAGTATTACAAAATCGGAAAGTTGTTTATTTCTTAGCGCTACTAAAATTTTGCTATACGTATAGTGTTACATCAAGTAATTCTAGCAACACTTTTCCTAGTCACATAAAACAGTTAAATTGATTAGAAAATTCTTCCTATCACATCGTGGTATCTTATCTTCATATGACACAAAATGTGAGAAGTGAAAAATTTTTCTAACTTTAATGAAAAAGAATTGTTCACATTTATGGGGGTCAGAGAAAGAGTTACACAATTAATCTTTATGTGATATAAACTTGTGTAATATAAATAAAGCGAATAATTACCAGCATTATTGTTTTAATTTCTTATCTTAATTTCTTCTCCTTCGTTTAGATGGTGGTGTCGAGATCGAAGGATTTTTCGTCGTAGTGTTTCGTATTTTGCTTTGTTCTGTCACTCTTATTCTTACAATTTCATCATCCCTCAAAGTACTCGGTCCAGGACTGTATTTATATATTAAAAGAAAAAAAAAATTATTACGTTTTATTATAAACAACAGAAAATGTTATGGAATATTTAGCATTTTAATTAGAAGTATGCATTTCACTCAGTTATTATCAAAATCGTTTTAAGATTCAATATAGATATCCATCCTTTTACATTTATAATGTACATATAAATTAGTAATATGTACAGTTATGTTCTAAAAAATTTGTAAAACTAGAAAAAGTACTTCGCGTGAGGGATTAGTTTATAAATAATATA